CTTATTTCAAAATTCTTTCCCCCAATCAGTCTGTAATTTTTGAGGTATATGGCTCTCTGTAAAAATGGTTTTAAAGGCCCAAGCTATTTCACTGCTTGACTTTTTGTTTAGACCCACGACCCAGGCATACTTTGATAATATGTCTATCAGAGTTAAGATGAATTTAACTCCACCATTGTGCTTGGAAAACTGCTGCATATCCACCAAATCTGCCTTTCATTACACATCGATATCTGAAACAACAGTCTTGTTTCTTTTAAAACGTCTTTTTGCCGGTTTGTGTAGGGTGTAAGCATTCTGATCTGAAAGCCAGGCGGCCACCCCGCTGCTGTTCAGAACCTTATTATGCCTTTTGGTGGCTTCAAAAAACATGTTCACCCAGCCAAAACTGCCAGCTTCACCAGGAGAGTAATAAGCTTCCTTTAACATAGCCTCCTGTGTCGACATGTCTGGTAACTGCTTCCCCCACACCCACCTCATGCTATCACCCGTGTGGTACATTCAAATGCTTGAGGACAAATTTAAACCATGGCACAATGATACCATCTTTCAAATTTTCAACATCTGCTTTGGGGTCCTGGGCAATAGGTCATAACTGCACCATGTGATCTAAAGCAGTTCTTGCAGCATGAGGGGTTGGACTTTGGGGGGTCTGCATGGGCTGTCCTCCTGATATCATGGACCATGTGGTGTCACACACAATGTGACTGGGGGGTAGGGGTGGAGTTGCTGATGTCACGCACCACGTGACTGGGGTCAGGGGGCAGGGCTGGTGATGCCATGCACCATACAAGGGGAAAGGGGTGGGGCTAAGGGGGCGGTACTTCCAGTCCCACCAACCTGTCACATTTGCATTGAAGGGCAGTGAGCCTATATACTACTAACCTCCTTTCTCATCCCAGGGGTGAACTAGAGTCCCAATTCCTGTCCACATCCCTGCTCATCAGCTCTCTAGAGGCAAGCCACAGTTGTGGAGACCTGAGACTGCATTAAACCTTTATCTGTGACTGCTCTGAAACTTCATATTTTATGACAGCATACCATTTCACATATTTAAAATGTTTTAAAGGTAACCTATAACAGCACCCTCAGTTTCATTAACTTAAATGGGAATAGCAGAAAACATCACAATGGTGTATTTACATCCTTTTGCATGTTTGTCCTTAGCTTTGAAATCCCACACTCCCTTGAAAACACATACTTTTTCCCTCCATTCCTCTCAGCTAAAATGTTTAAGGTGCTTGGGTGATTGGGAAAATTGAAATACCAACACTCAAGTAAGAAACTCACTCTTTTTTCTAGAAAAAACATTTAAAAGGAAAAAAATGGTCTTTGTTTTCAACATTTTTACTGGAAAATGTTCAAAATGAACCCAAAATCAAATTTCACTTGACTTCAGCAACAATCCACACTTTCACTGTTCTTTTAATCAAAATAATTGTCTTGTTTTAACCTAAGTAGAAACATTTGTTTACAGTATATTTTTTCTTTTTATTTCACTATATATTTTTTTTTCCAATGATAAAAATTATGAGGAAAAAATGTAAAAAGTGTGTGTGATAGAGGGCAAGTATCTCATTTTCTTCCATTTTAACGAGATAACAAATGGAAATGAGGACTGAGAGTATATGAAGGAAAAATTAAAACATTTCTTGGAAAAATGGTTTAAGAAACTAATTTTGAACAACAAAATATTTTAGAATAAAATGTCTTTTTTTCTAAAAATCACAGCCATATAAAACAGGGTCATGGGTAGGCATTGGACCCTAAGGAGTTGATTTCAATTTATGCTTTGCTACAGGCCTTTGTTGTGACCATAGATAACTAATACCTCCTCTCATACCCACACTCCCCAGCTTGCAGTTTTCCAAGGACAATTAAAAAGTTGTATGATCCTCAGTAAACTAAGCCAGTCATAAAAGTAAGATGGGGGAAGGAGCAGTGGAGCACTAACCCTGGTGGAGTGGGACTTAGGTGCCTACCCTTCTTAGATATGTTGAAAAACTGTTTGGAAATGTGATGATACAACTGTGTACCCAGTGAATTTTCACTAATATATTTATTATGATTGCATGTTTGCTTTACGCATAGTATTATTTCTTAAATAACCATTTACACCAACTTCCTTTGCCAACTGAAGGCTTAAAGCAACACGTCAGGTAGCAACACATGATCTAATGCATTGTGCCATTGATCAACTTGAGCTCTTTTCATTTTATGAAAAGGCTGAGTAAAAATGAAGATCCCCAGAATGAACATTAAGCTCACAACTGTAATCTGAGCTCTGCAAGTTCTTTCCTGTGATTTGTGTCCTTGTCTGGACCAAGATGGTGGTGTATGAAATGAGCAAGGTGATAAAAATAATGAGGAGAAACCTACTGTTAGATACCATCAGCAGCTGAACATTGCAGGCTTCTGTGCAGGTCAGTTTGATGACTTGTGAGACATTAAAGTGGAGCAAAAAAGGTAGCTGGATAATTAATAGAATCTGAACTATAGAATAAATAAAACCACCCATCCATGCCCCAGCTACTAATACCACACACACTTCATAATAGTCAAGAGGTTTATGAATAGCCATATACTTATCAACTGCCATCAATACAAGGAAAAAGGTCACAGCACCCACAACAATGTGGAAAAACCGCAGGGAGATGGACTTTTTAAATTGAGATAGTTTTATATTTGTAGAGGGGATCCAACATCATTAGAGTTACTGACATCAATTTTAAAAAAAGTTATCCAGCAGGAAGGGTGTGGGAATGTGGAGATGGTCATCAGTGATCACTTGTAGCAATGACAGTGAAGTTTCCCAAACAGGTCATGATGTAGATTATAAGGAATATCACACAAAGGAATTGCTGAAGTTTAGGTGTATGGGTGAGGCCCAAGAGGACAAATTCTGTCACTGTCCTGTTCCATTTATTAACTTTGGACTGTTTGGAGAGAATAGAGGACTTTATTCCAAGGAATGGATTACAGTCTGTATAAGTAACAATTAATGTGCATAAGTTTGCTCTGCTATAAGACTCTAGTTTCTAATAACTTTTAATTATATGAACTTGAATGCGTGAGGCTGCTCAGACATTTATTTGATATAATCCTGTCTCTTTACAAGGAATGTACATAGCCTTGTTTCCTTAAACACAGAAGTAATTGAACAGCAGGAAATATCACATGCATCTTTGCATAAAAATTTGGCCTTCCAAATTTGGTGCATATGTCTAAAGTGGAGAAGCTGATTTTGCTGCAGTGCTGATTTTCACTGCTATCACTAGCACCTTTGCAGTGCTGATTTTCACTGCTATCACTAGCAGCAGTGATATTTCTATTCAGGAATCAGCAAGTCAATTGACTTCATGATTCGTTGGAATTTAGTTGATTCCTCCTAACTAGTCTTTATGCAACAGGTGTTAACAGCCTACTCTCCTTTTTAATGGTCTTGATGTTCCACTAATCAAGCTAGCAAAATCTTCCCTCCCCCCCCTGACTTCCCAAAAACAAGGTGCTTGTCTTATTTTTTTTTCGGGGGGGGGGTAATGCAAGAAAATATGGTACTCCATTTGAAATGCCTGCCCTCAACTTCTGCTAGAGTAATGCACAAAAACCACTTTTTTTACTCTGAGGCTTCTCTCAGAATCACAGAAGAAATGCTTCAGCTACTTTTAGCATTCTCTGGTGCTTGTGCTATCATGCAAATGCATGAAGAAAGGTCAGTGATTATAAACTACCATTTTTCATTGAAACTGGTCACTTACACTTTGAGGATTAATCTTCTGCTCTCCAGTTCTTAGGGCCTGACAGTTTGACCTGGTAGGTAGGTAGTTGCTAATGGTGTGCTGTCTCACCTGCCATGTCTTG